ACCCCACCGTCCCTGGTCCAATTACAGCAAGAGGGAGAGGACATTTTTATTGGTCTGCGAGGGGACATTTCCATGGCTGCCGTCGTCTCCAGGAGTAGAGGCACCTAGTGCTCAATTACTCCTCCAGCCTGAAACGGCAAGAGAAGGAAACTATGCCCTGCTGAGACTTGGTGAGTCCCAGTACATTACCAGCCCAGATTTTCTGACCTACTTCAAAACACAAAAAATCCCACAAATTATTTTCACTTCTACCTGTAGTATATGATTAAATATGTGGGGAGTAATATTCCCCAGGAGTTTGACTATAGCAGCACTAACAGAGATTCTTTAAAAAGGAATTTAACTTTAAGTGTGTAGATATGTGTAGCATTTATGGAGATCATTCGATTATGTTGTCTGATGTTATCAGCATTATACAACAGAATACCTATGTAAAAAATGGTGATGAATAAGCCGTAATTATAAACGTATTATTTTTATGAGTGATTTTTTTTCTTTCCTTCTTTCTTTCTTTTTTCTTTCTTTTTTTTACCAATGCCATTACCTTTGATGTAAAAGCCTGCTTTGTCACAGCTTACTACATGCTGTTAGTCACAAATACAGAGTGACAGCCATGAGAATTCCCAAACATCAGGACATGATACATAATCATATATATGTGTGTCTCTGTGTGTGTGGGGAGATGTGGATATAGAAAACAACTCAATGTAAGGAGGGAGCTGGATAACCAAAATTTTAGAAAACCTTACAAGGCATGAAACTAATTGGTGATCAGAGATAAATGATTGCAGTGCCAGCGTAAGGGCAACTGACTATGGATTATTTAGCCAAGGAGCAGCACACCAATACAAAACTGTAGAAGATCTGGGGCAGAGACATAAACAAATCCAAAGCTCAGTGTCAGTTTTACAGAGATAGGTGATCGATCAGTTGACAGGGATGTTTGACACTCCTTTAAAGTCTCAAAGTCAAGTAGAAATAAATTAGACCCTTCATCAGCATTAGATCTTTAGCTAAACAGCACAGAATCCAAATGAGATCATGTTTGATGCATTCTGATCAGTTTTTAAAGTTTTGACATGGACCACCAGGTGGGTGTACTGCAAAGCAACTTCGTACATCATAAACTGAGGCACTGAAGTTACAATGTTACAGTGGCTGAGAGCACAGGGTGGAGCACGGGGTGGTATCGGTGCCACATCTGAGTGATGTGCCAGAGCATTTCCCTTCAACTGTTAACAAAGGCAAGTAGCTGGGCAAGTTCCCTGGCACCTTTTCATCAGCATCAGTGAGGTCTGGTGTCCTGCTTTCACAAGCCTCAAAAGTGGGGTTCATATTGTAGCTCAGCGTGCCTTGGAAGGATAATATTAAAAATGCCCGGCTATAAAAGGAAATTTGACAAATATAGGGATGGAGTGATGTCAGAAGAATGGACTGAAAGCTCAGTAGTAGACAAAATGTTTGGTACTGTAACAAATACAGTGTGGCCAATGAGTCAAGATCCATCTTATTAAGGAAATGTTGAATACTAACTTGTGCATGCCAGTTAGAAGTCATGATGAAAATATTCCAGAACCAGGCCAATAAAAATTACAGGTCTTAACCCTAAACCTTGAATTAGTCTAATCTGCCCATCTGGGCATGTCCAGAAAGCTTTCAGTGTGGCTGCTACTTTAAGATCACTCAATGGAAGTCTCATTGATTACTCCTGTAATTATGTCTCTGCATGCTGGATCTACACTCAAAATGCCATTTCTTCAATTTGATTTTCATTTTAGAAGAAAGAAAAAAAAGAAATATTACTGCACTGTGTCGCTTGCCTGCAAATGATGGCATGCTAGCTATCAGCACGTCAGGAACTCCAGGCTGACAGTCTCAAACCGTGAAGACTGCAAAAACTGGTCTTGATCCTCAGCTGACCTATCGCCTTTAGGTGATGGAAAATTACAACCCTTCCACTGAAAACTTGTATAAGGTCAAATCAAAGCTGGTGAATCAAAAGAGCTCCAACAAGCAAACAGGCCATAATAAGTGGCTTAGGCAAACACAGCTTAAAATAGAAATGAATTGGATAGATGATGGCAATTTACTCCAGAATCACATGTGTTATTATACTCTGCTGTTTATATAACCGCCTCCTAACAACATACAGTTGTATGCATTTGCTACTGAACAGGAGCAGACAATCAATAAAAATAGCTCAGTTTTACAGGATTCAAATGTGTCTAACTGACTTGATTTTGTCTAGTAGTGAAAATGAGAATGTAATTAGGGCCATAACAAGAAAAAACCCAAAACATTCATCTTTGTAGATACGAAATAATTTGCTTGTGAGAACCAGTATTTCTCTTCCTTTCAGAGTTCATGCTGACATTTTAGTGTTTACTCTCACCGGTTCTGCTGACACATGAGAAACAGGATAAACCTAATGCTTCAAAGGCTTATGTTTGGAAAACTGTATATCCACTAACCTTACATTTTACACTTTGTTGTTACAGTAAGGTACCCATGTGAGGAAGTGCACACAAAAGATGCTCTGATAAATGTGAAATAAATTATTACTATATATCAGGTTTATTTCATTAATCATTTTCTTCCCATTACCATCCATCAGTGAGCAAGAGTGCTGCGGCACAGTTCCTCCAAATGAATTTTCCCGCTTGCCTTAATCTCCTTCTTTTTTCCCCCTGTTCTTTTATTTCCCTTCTTTCCTCTGACTCTCTCTGTCACTCTACGATAACTCTGGAGAAAAGGTTTACTAACACGACAACTTTTCACATCAGATGAAGAAATTCTTTGTTTTCCTAGTCTGAAATGATGAAAAGCACAAAGCTCATTTAATAAAGAAAAGCAGAAAGCTTCTGGGGTGGTGGTGGGGGCTTAAATTGGCATTTTGGTACAGCTAGCGGGTGCATATTGAAGCTTGTTGGCTGATCTGAAAGGAAGAATTTTATTAGCTAGAGGGAAAAACATAAAGGCGGGGGAGAAAAAAGAGAATGACAGAATGAAAAAGAAGAGGACTGAGAGAGGAATACTGGCAAACGCTGGTGTTTAACAGGTCTGCCCAGATCCAAACACAGAGTTGGCCAGCGACTGGTCGGTTGTGGTTAGGTCTTGGCATGGGCTGCGGCGACAGCTGTTTGGAAATGATGGAAACCCCTGAGAAGGGAGACAGGAAGGAATGAGACTGCGACAACAATCCAGAATTACTGTGAAATTCTGTTGTCCTGGTCCATTCTTCCAGCACAGCTCAGACTGACACAGAATGAAAAACAGGAGGCAGCGACAAAATAACAACGACAGAGAAATAAAGCTATAAATGGGAGGCTTGTGTTACACAATGCCGAAAAGAAACCCATAATAACTGGATGCCTTCAGTCCTAAGTTCTCCACTGAGGCTTGTTTGTAGGACTTTCATTTCACGCCTTCATCTTAGTCCAATGGGACAGATCATAAAGGCATTAAGTGCTGAGGACAAAATGAAATCCAAGCATGGGTACTATTAATAATTCTTACACGCATGCAAAAAAATAAGCTAATACAAAGATGTACAAATGAGCCTGTTTATTAGTAATCAAGCCACTTTGTGCAAATACGCGTTTACAATGTAGACGCACTAATCATTGTGGTAATTACGCTGCAGTTTCTGCCTAATGCGAATCTGGTCACTTAACATGTGGTGTGCTTTACCCAACAGAGATCCAGATGGCAGCGCCACTATTCATAACTGTCTTCCCGATAGATTATTACAGAACTATGAAAAAACAACAGCAACACATGGCTTGAACTGCATCCACGACATTTTTCAGTCTTAAGACGAGTAATTTTAACAGCTTTTTACCCACTTGCTCCGCACTTTGCACTGCAGGAATAATATCCCCATGTGGCATTTTGTCACACTGTGTGTTTTTTGAATTCAGCCCTTTTCCTGCAGATTTTAACTCTGTGGGGCTGTGTGCATCTGGCTGTCACATCCCACTATGGCGTGTAAAGAACAAGCAGAGGTGATAACACAGCAGCGCAAATAAGTCCAGGATGCCCCGAATCATGGCACCCTGACCAGCAGCTGAAGCAAAAAAAAAAAAAGATAGCCCAAAAATCACAGCCAATCAGAAAGCTGAATTTTTTTTTAGCAACAAAGCTCTCATACAGAGAAATAGATTGTTTCACTGTGCTCGCACATCACAGAACGCAAAGTGTAGGAACACGGATCTGAGAATTATCCAGATAGTCATCATCAAGTTCATCTGTATTACTCCTCCGCAGTAACAACACTCTCTTCACTGTCTGCAAGTTTATTTAGCCCCTCTGAGTATTCTTGTGTGCAGCATACGGTTCACTTGAAATATCACACTATGAGTGAGTCAGTCATGGCAGGTGTGTGGGAGTGGCATATACAGTAAATCTCTGGTTAACATTAGGATGAATTAAAGAGGAACTCATGCTTGTAGAGGAAAATTCAGTATATTGGAGGAAATGGTACTCCACACACTCCATACAAACACACGTGCCACACGTGACCCACACCAACTCACACACATACAAAAAAAGAAGAAGAAGAAGAAGAGAAGAGATGGGTTTCCTTTAAAGGGAACAGATTTATTGTCATGGCTCTTTCCCATTCAATTCGTTTCAGGGGTGGCAAGATGTTTTCTGAAGGGTTCGTGGTTTAAAAGAAGGAAAAAACAAATCCTCGCTGATCACCGGGAAACTAGAGGAAGAGCAAAGCCAGCTCACAACATGTAATATGGTGATTGCAGAGCTGAGATGAGGCACCCTGCCTTCTATTAAAAGTGCTGTGCTCGGAGCATTTCACTTTCACCGATAATTTGCTGGAGGGCGATGACTAAAACAGACGCACACTCCCTCTCTCCAACTCACACTCACAGGCGTGCACGTGGACGCAAACAGATTCAAAGTGAGCTGAAGGCTACACTCGCACGTCTCCCAGTGCTCTGGATGGGAAGCCGGGACGTAAAGAGAGGTGGGTTAATAAAGCATGCCTCATTTGCCGATGAAGTCTTGATGCAGAAGTGGGTAGTCTTGCTTTAAGACGTGTGATCTGACTCTCTCAGCTCTCTCTCGCTCTCTCGCTCTCTCCCTTGCTTTCCAGCTGGGCTACATTGTAATACACACACACATGCACACTCACTCACATTCGCTCTGCCTGTCTGACACAGACTCTCTACTTAGAGCGCTGGAGAGAGGACTGAAGCTCACACTATCAGCACTGCTTCTCAATGGGGGGATGCAGCCAAGAGCAGACAGAGCAGTCATTCCACTGGAGCCTTCCGCTGCACGCGTGAGAAGGAGACGACAAGTGAGGAGGGTAAATTAGCTCCCAGTCAACAGAACATAGGAGTTTTACTGACGGAGAAGAGACACTGAAGGAAGGAGAGCACATCTTCACGAATGTGGCTGAGACAGCAGTGACATGATCAGCCTTCCATCCCTCAAATCCTGGCCAGTTTGTAACAAAGACCCCTGGGTGTTTTGCTTTTGGTGACTCTTTGTGTTGCCAAAGGATTTCAAAAAGAACCTGAGCAGCAGGGGTCCAAAAGGATATATAGAAAGGAAAGAACAGCCTTTTTAGCTTCCTTTTGTGCAGTGTTTGGCTTATCTGTTAGTGGAATTTCAGGCTGAAAACCCTGGCTCCCAAGTATGGATGGATTTAAGACTGAGGAGTGAGTCTGCTGGGCAGGCAGTGATTCTGACTGAACTCCTTTGCTTCTGAACGCAGCGCTCAGGTAAGGGTGTGGGGGGCTTGAATGGAGCACCTTTGGTGTTTGGGGATGGGGTAGGAGGGCTGTTGATTTAATTCCCCACAGTATACTGCCTGCTGAAAAATGCATCTGGTTTATGTAAAGATATGCTGGAGTCCAAGTAGAAAAGCTTTTCTAGCCTCAAGAATACATTTGAACCAAGATGCTAAGTTTCCACCTATGTTTAGAATTAGAATGAATAGTTCCACATAGGGGTAGGTGACCTCCCCAGATAAACAGTACAGGAGTAGCAGGCTAAGCACTAAACAAATACAGTACTTGGAAAGATGTGGGGTATTTACAAGCCAGCGGATAAGGGTGAGTGATTTCCTCCCGGTGTATTGCAATCAGGTAGACAGGTCTATGTGTTAGGGAGTCACTGCTTAAACTTGTCTCCGCAGCATTAAGACGAGCGGGCTCATAAAACCGCCTTACTTTGTTAAATCCACGCTGCACGCAGGTGCATCAGGAGGTTATGCGCCCGCAGGTGTGTCTGCTGCTTCTGCTCCGAACCGCATTTAAAATCTCACGCTAGACTTACCTGTTACGCACAGATGAGCGGCTGCCTCTCTTTTAAGGCGATAAAACTGTGAGAGCCAAACCGGCTCTTGTGAATTCTTTTGTTTCCCGCAAGGAAAACGAGATGCACGTGAGTTTTCTTGTCTGCTTTTCCTCAAAGCTGGTTGTGTGTGTGTGTGTTTTTATTTCTTAAGTTCCTTTAAAATGATACTAATACTCCTCCTCCTTTCGATGATAAACTGTGTGTGTTCACATCAGGTGATGTTTTTATTTTTTTGGTCAGAACGTGCACCCTCCAAGTCTGTGCAATAAACAGCAAAGCACACAAGCGCAATTTTTTGTTTGAATATATAATAAATGCAGCCCGACAAGAAGAACACGATGGTTTTTTTAATGTTTTTTTTTTCTTTTTCTTTTTTCTTTTTTAAGGAAAATAAACCCACAGGACCCGTTCATATTTCCACAAAACCGGATTATGATGGATTTAGTGCAGGGGTGGGGATTTACAATGTGCTGTTAATAATTATATGCTTAATTTTCGCTGAATATTAAGCAGCCTCAATGTCACTGAGGGTAAAGAACACATGGGTAACATTTAATACCTTAATGGCTTTAATCTCAGATGTACATCAAACCAGGAGGGGGTGGGGGGGTTCTGCAAGTGTATTATTAGATCAGAACAGATCATTGGCACTTAATTTGGAAAACTGGAGCATTTAGATTTTCCTTTATTGGCAGGTTTAGTGTTGGTAAAGAGTGTAAAAGGACAGGTAGAATCAAACACTACTAAATTCATAGTTACATTAGAGTCATGACATCACTTCAGAACATGTGATTTGTCATTTAGCTGAATACACTAAATGAGCTCCTCAGCCTTATATGTACTAATTCTAAACACACTAAGACACATTTCTTGGTTGGGGGTGGGG